ATGCTGCGAAGCTTCGCTGGATAGTTGAATCACGCTTTATCCGTTTATCCCAATATCTTTGGTTATTGAATATCAAATTCCAAGTTTTTCAAGTTAAATTCCGCTTGCTGCTCAAATGCCCTGCTTCTCTGGTTGAATCCTTTACTTCATCTTAAATTCATATGCTTTGCTGGGTCTGAACATCCTTCTTTTTAGTGGTGCAATTTCGCCTGAACGAAGCACAAGAACACAAGTCTGGGTCTTCCCCGCCATGCAGCCGACTCCATCAGCCACACCAAGGCCATGAGGGTCCATGAAGAACGCATCCTCACCTCAATCTTTTTCGGGGTCATGACGTACCTATTATCTCCCTATTCTTTATTTTTATAAGAATTTAAAGGAATTTTAAGGAATTTAAAGGCATTTTAAGGCATCTTAAGGAATTTTAAGGGTTTTTAAGGGTGTTTAAAGGTTTTTAAAGAATTTTGTAGAATTTTAAAGAATTTTACGGAAAATTAAGGGATTTATAGTTTTTTTTTGGAATTTCAATTAATGTTATAGAATTTGAAGGAATTTTAAGGAAGTTTAATTTAAAATTCTATAAAATTCCTTAAAAACTTGTAAAAACCCTTAAAAACCCTTAAAATTCCTTAAACTTCCTTAAAATTCCTTTAAATTCCTGAAAATGCCTGCTGAATTTTAAGGAAATTTAAAGAATTTTATGGAATTTCAAGGACTGTTATAGAATGTTCAGCAATTTTAAGGAAGTTTAAGGATTTTAAGGAATTTAAAGTAATGGTAAGGAAGTTTAAGGAAATTTATGGCATTTTAAAGATTGGTATATAATTGTTTTTAAGGGTTTTTATATAATGGTGTTCAATGAATGTTAGGATTCTTTTAACACATTTTAGGTAATTTTGATAATATGTTTTCCCTATTATTTTCCTATACTTATTTCATCTTATTTCCACATTTATTTCCCTATTTATTTCCCTATCTAGTTCCGTATTTGTTTTTTATTTCCCTATGTGTTTCCCTATTTATTTGCAATATTTATTTCCCTATGTATTTTCATTATTTCCCTATCTATTTTCCTATTTATTTCCCTATTTATTCCCCTACTTATTTCCCTATTTATTTCCCTATTTATTTTCCTATGTATTTCCCTATGTATTTCCCTATGTATTTTCCTATTTATTTCCATAATATGATTTCCCTGTTTATTTCCTGATTTACTCCTATTTATTATGTCCCTATCATTTCCTTATTTTTTCCCCTAATATGTCCCTATTAATTCCCTATTCATTCCTCTATTATTTGCTTATAATTGCCCTTTTATTACCTTATTATTTCCATATGTATTCCTGTATTATCTCCATATTTCGTCCCCTATTATTTCCCTATTTATGCCCGTATTGTTTCCCGCCTATTATGTCCATATTTATTCCTGATTATTTCCCTACCATTATTGTTTCCTCATTATTTATTTCCTGATGAATTCCGCATATTTTCCTATAGTTTCCTATTGTTTCTCTATTATGTCCTCATGATTGCCATATTATTGCCTCATTATTTCAATAATATTCCCGTTGGACTTTTTCCTCTTGTTTCGCGATTATTTCCATATTTCGTCATATGTCGGTATCATTTTTCCATTCATTATATTATGTCTTTATTATTCCGACTTTGACGTTTCCCTTGCGTAAGTAGAATATGCTAAACAACCCCACCAAATCTTAAGTCATCCAAGTACCGAACAGAAATACATGGATTGGTCCTCAAAAAACGTTGAAATTCCTCAAGAAAACACTACATTACAAATCCCATGGGTACAGCCAAAAATTCTACGACCTCCTGGAGAGCTTCCCCCGACTGAAGATTTGAGGAAATAGTTTTTGCGGAATCTTCATTCATTTTTCAATCCAAATGCAGGCAGAGGATTGCAATGCTGTATCAAGGTAAATAATTAGGTAGACATACAGGTACATAGTTAGATAGGTAGGTAGATAGCTAGATAGGTAGGTAGCCAGCTGGATAGATAATAGGTAGATAATGGTAGATAATGGTAGATAGGTAAATGGTTGTGAAAGCAAAATCGAAAAATTGCCACGACTTTGATCCTTGAATCTAGATGCTATAGCATCAAGTGAGGATTTCACAAGATTTAATCAAAAGAAATTCTGATTTTGTCCAAAAATATAAACAAACATAGCCAATATATTCACACCAAAAGTAAAGCCATTGAGTCATTGAAAAAGATCATGCTGAACTGAACCAGTCGATGGAATGGGGTGCCCTATTTTGAACAGCCCCATTTTTTTTGTCCCGAGACATGCTTTTCTGAGGTTGGGCACCCTTCCAAGAGAGTGCAAAACTGACGTCTTGTGGGAGAGAGACTTTCAAGGACCACTGGTTTTCAGGAAAAACATCGACGGTTCAATTCACCAGTGTGAAACCTTGGAATGCGATAAACATACCTGGTTGGTGGTTTTAACCATCAACCAGATACAGTATCAACAAAAAAAACCTATGCCATCTTTCTCTTCCAGAGAAGGTGTAAACAGAGTGGAACTGGAACCAATCTCTGTCCATCCTGGATGAGGTTGGATCCCCATTATAAAGCAACTGGGAATGGCTCGGAAGACCGGTCCAACTGAGGAACGAACAAGCGCCATGTGCCTTCTGGATCATGTGAGCTCCAGCCTCGGTAACAAAATGTGCCCAGCCAAGCACCCCACGCAACTGAAACTTGATCTTGATTCTCAAAGGTAGCCTCCGGAAATCAATTTGGCCATGGATGGCTGGGGAAGATCCTCTTCTTAATCGGAAAGTTGGATATACATAGGGGGAAATTTAGTTGTCATGCTTGACTACAACGATGCAAAAACATTGGAATGAAGAGGCAGGTCCCCCACGGTGTCCACGAAACTGCCCCACTTCACCTACTGCTTTCCCAGATCCAAATGGGTCAAGTGTTGTCCAAGATTCGTTTGGACCCAGTTGCAATTGCCGAGGCCATAACCCAGAGTCGTAACGCACATCCTGGCGCCAGTGAGTAGCGACGATTTCCTCATCACAAAATTAAGGTGGTGAAGGAAAGCCCCCAAAATGAACCAACAAGGGGAACAATACAAGTTTTCTTGACAGTCAAATCCCCAATTTGATTGGTCAGATCTCCGTTGATCTTGATTGTGCCATTCATGCAGAGATATATGATATCCATGGATATCTCCATCTTTCGTTGCTTGATACTCCCATCGATCATTGCTCAAATCCCACGCCTCTGCTGGAAAAGAAAGACATGATATTTTGGCGATTTAATTCCAAGCTGTTGTTGCAAAAATTCCCAGTCAAAGCCACAGCTTTTGGTGGCTCTTGGCCCTTAAATCCCCATATATCCCCATCTTTTGTTGGTTCGATTATATTGAATCACAATCTTGAATTCGTTCGCACCTGCATTTTCACCCTCCAGCCGAAGGGGTGGTGGGGGGAACTCTGGGAGCACCTCGCAGACTCACCAGGCCAGCTGCTCGGTCAGCTACCAAAAATATTACAGTAGTTTAACTCGGCTGAACAGTGTATTTTCTGGTATTCGACCAGATATAAATGGATACCATATGGATCAGATACCTTGTGTAAACACATAAGGTCAGATTGACTGGGTCAAAGACCAGGTACAGTACAATAGTTTATATTACAGTCAAAATGGGAATACATGGACATAGTATGAAACAGTACAGTATGAAACAGTTCATGTTTGGGGGTCTCACTATCACCAAAATCCCATCCCGGCAAGCTATAAACCACATGTTTGGGGGATCCAAATCCCTATCCCTATATAAATGAGCACATCCAATACTAGCCCATTGGATGTCACCGTGTCCTTGTTGGTGTCTGATTGGTACAACCATGTAAAAAAACGGTGCAATTTGCATCCAACTGACTGACGCATAATCCCCATTCAAAAACTGCGGTCAGGCCCCGTTAATCTTTCGGGATGCCGTGCTACAGATTCACAAAAAATGCTTGCCTGATAAGGGTTTGTCTGAAAATAGTGTACCCCTACACCCAATGGTTAATGATCATTGTCCCTACTAAATGGCTATAATTGGGGGTATACCCCATTTTCAGACATACCCATAAGGATTCCCCGTTCATGGATTCTGATCATCCCCAATATTTTGTGATTTTGCGGCCATAACCCCCGTACGATTCTCAACGAAGAGTTGTGTGTTGAACACTGCGATAAATTGAAAACCCGTGGCCTTTTGAGGTTGAAGAACTTTACCAGGGGGCATCTTGTAAAATGAACAACCCGAATTAAGAGATCAGATCCAAATAGACCCATCAAGAATATGAGGGAAACCCAATGGAATGGGCGATCTCTCGAAATATTGTTTCAAAGACTTTAAAAGCGTGTAGGTTCACATCTCTAGAAGATGTTCGTCCTGAGAACTATGATAAAAGAATAAGACATCTTTGGAACCACGAATATAATATATTGGGGGTTGCTTCGGCTTCTTTATTTTGGGTTTCTGTGAGAGTTGCAGAGCTATTTCTAAAATTGTCAGAACTATTTCTAAAATTGTCAGAACTATTTCTAAAATTGTCAGAACTATTTCTAAACTTGCAAAACTATTTCTAAAATTGTCAGAACTATTTCTAAAATTGTCAGAACTATTTCTAAATTGTCAGAACTATTTCTAAAATCTTCAAATCTATTTCTAAAATGTTCAAATCTATTTCTAAAATGTTCCAATCCTTTCCAGAAGCCTCAACACTACTTCTTAAATCTTCAAAGCTTATTTAAAAAAAGACAGAGCTATTTTTTCAAAAAAAGTTTTAACATTTCAACATTTTCTACAAATCATATCAAGCCTGTTAACAATGTTCAATGCTACTTCCAAATTTTGAAGAACTAGTTTGTAAATTTTCCGAACTAGTTAAAACAATTTTCAGCGCTTTTTTGAAATTCAAGAACTGTGTCAAAAACTCCCACAACTAGAATTAGAACTAATGCTAAAAGTGCAACAACAGTTCTCACATGACCACAATTATGTGTAGAGTAGGAATTCTTAAAGCCTTCCTTTCGGAACCTTTGAAAATCTAGGTGCGTAGACATGTAGCCTAATAAATTTCCAAATTTTAACAATCACTATCACTATGTCCATGCTATACCTATACCTACAGGTCCTGGAACTTTTTTCAACTTGAAGAATTACCTCGCACATTCACTGAAATTCTTTCAACTAACATAGTTCAGGAACCTTTTCTTCAATTCTCAGAGCAGTGAAAAATGAACATCACAAGGCATGACTTCCTTCCTTAACTCTTTGAACTAGTCATACTTAGTGAGCTTCTACGAAATTCATGTGGCGTATTAATCGTATTAATTTAAAAAATATGAATATGAAGGAACTCTGAGCTATTTTTGACATACTTCTGTAACCACCGGCGAATTATGAAGAATCATCCTGAATTCTAATTTCCAGCGTTCGAGTTTAGTCTAGAACTGGCTATCTGAATCTGTGAGCTATTCATTGATCGAAGAATTCATGTCCTCTGGTTGCACACAAAAGTCACTACGGCTATTTCACTGGATGTTTTGGAAGCAGGTAGAAACATGTGCAGTATGCCGAATGCCCATGTTGTAAATGTTAGGAAAACAGTGGGAAAGTGATATGAGGAGTGTAAGCAAGGGAAATGATGGCTTCAATGCTAACTACCCACAAAAAGAACACACACACAATATCACAATTGGCATTTGTCGAGTCATTGTCATTGTCCATTTTTTTACCGCGCAAATCAATCAAGGGCTCCGAGACCAAACTCATGTAGAGACGATGGACCGCTGCTGTAATTTTGTTTGTGCTATGTCAGGGCTTGTAGGACTTGTAGGTCACACATAGTCATCCAACCACTTGGTTTATCCATTCTGGTGGGACAGGGCTGTTTGTTTGAAGCTCGGCCGCCTTTGTGGCCATCAGTGTGCTCAGGAATAGTGAACAGCATGAGCAGGTGAGCAGGTGCCATCCAAATAAAATCAGCAGTGAGCAGGACAAATATTTTTAGGCCAGAAAAGTTTCAGAGGCTACAGCCAGCGCCATGGCGTCTGAATGCTCGACCCTTGGAAGCGAGGAGCACCAGCTCTTTGACGACTTAGTGGGTTCACTACCAAGCGAGAAACTTGCATGCAAATAATTTTGGAGGCCAAAGGTCAAAAAGATGGCATCATAGGCCAAAGTCTCGCAGGTTGGGCTGACTAATTTATTGTTGCAGATCCTTGAGTCAGCCATTGCCTCCCCAAGGATTGAGACTGATGGCCGACCGCTTGAAGGACTGGCGACCAGCTTCCTGTGGGATGATGGGGTCCCTGAGAAACCCCACTTTTTGAAGTGGGCAGGTGTGCTGCACAAGTTGCTGGCTGGCAGAAAAGTTGACATTTCAGACTGGGGCGTAGGAGCTCCCAAGCAGCTCGCCACCACCTACTTGCGCAAAACAGTTTTCAAGTTTGGAAGCCTGACATCCACACTTCCTGTTTTTTCGTGGCGATGGATGGACTCATGGACATCTGTTTATCAGAAACCCTCAATTCAACACTAGGAGTTCTAAACACTTCTTTACACAACACTGACCTATTACTAATGAATTGCATATAGACAACCTACTCTTAAGACTAAATGAGTTTTTGTGGCACACACATCATCACATCCGTCATAAGTCATAGTCATAAACTCATAACAGAAAAATCATAAAGAAGGTCCGGATTTAATTGGAATTATAAAAATGTTGGTTGACCATTTGCAGACCATCTAATCCAATATATTAAGCAAGTAACATAACCTAACTTGTAACTTGTAACATTTTACATTCAACATTAGTTAGATCCACCCCTAGCCTGTATGTTTTTCGAGGCACCAAGGGGCCACGGTACACAGATGTGAGGTATGTCATAGCAGAAGCCTGTGCCGGAGCTGGGACAGCTACCTACTGCATGATTCTCGGGTCAGCAAACAAATCCTTCGCAGCGAAGCACCCTATAGGATTTTTCATCCACCAACACTCAATGCTTAGAAGCGGCAATCTGAAATCAGCTGGTAAGCAGGCTTCTCGGGAATTTCAGCTTGACCCGCCAATGGCAACAGCCAAGGGAAGAACTTTGCAAGTACTTTGACTTCCAGTGGAAGGTGGCGTCTTTCTCGGAAAAGTCTGCGATGAAGCGTGAGTGGCTGAAGGCCCACTACAGTGACAAGGGTTGCTAGACTCAATTTTTGAAAGGGTTTTGAGCGGCTTTGTTAGCAAACTAGCAGTAACTAGCATATAGAGTTGTTGGAAACCAGGGCAGAAATCACATCATGATTCATGACAGAGAAGGAGCTGCCAGAGGAATTCTGACTGGAAACAGATCAGAACATTATGGCCCATATTCCCATAGCCACTGACTTGATTGTTGCTTTTGTTGCAAGCTTTGCCTCGCAACCAAGTTGACCACATTTTCCGAGACATGCTCGACGGGACAGAGGACAATGCAAAGTGCCTACTTCACGCCAGCTGCAGGCACGCGTGCGTTCTGAAAGACAAACCGCAGGACCTGTTCACAGGGATGGTGCAAAGGAAGACTGTGAAAATCTTAATGTTTTAATGATCTTGATTTTGCCAAGTCTGCTGCTATTGC